CCGCGTTCCCGCTGGCTGCATGGCTGGGCTCGGGGCAGTGCTGGGATTGCTGCTCTGCGCCCTCCGTGAGTGCAGGACGGGGATGGGATGGGATGGGATGCGGGAGGGGAAAGCCGCTGGGCCGAGCATGGCACAACCACCGCCATCCCACGGCTCCCGGGAAGGGGCTGTTGAGAGCGAGTGAAGCTGTGTCCTTCGAGTGCTGGTAGGGCTGGAGCAGGTCTGCCGTGGGGACAGGCTGGGAGAGCTGGGGGGGTTCACCTGGAGAGGTGACCACTTGGGACAAGGGCCAGGAGGGCCAGGGCAAGGGGAAATGGCTTCCCACTGCCAGAGGGCAGGGACAGATGGGACATTGGGAAGGAATTCTTCCCTGTGAGGTGCTTAGACACTGGCACAGGTTGCTCAGAGTAGCTGTGGCTGCTCCATCCCTGGGAGTGTTCCAGGCCAGGTTGGATGGAACTTGGAGCAATCTGGAGCTAGTGGGAGGTGTCCCTGCCCTTGGCACAGGTGGAACTGGATGAGCTTTAACGTCCTTCCAACTCGAACTATTCTATGGATTTGGGAAGAGCTCTGTCAGTGGCTCAAGGTTTTGCAGATGAGGTGTTCATGGGTTGTATAGCTTTGCTTGTTAAAGTGCCATCCTGTGTGATCCCTGTGTGTGTGTGTCCTGTGACCCCTGTGTGCTGTTCTGTGCACATCATTACCTGTTGGCTCTGTGTCTCCTCAGGTGTGCAGGCAGCTTGTCGGGACTCCACTGTCACACAGGAGCTCCTCAAGGAGGGGTTTCACAGGTGAGTCATCCCCCAGGCTTTATCAGGATAATATTCTGGGTGCTTTTTTTGTGTGAACAGGCTTCTCTTCTTTTCATCACAGTTGTGTCAGCTCCCTGAGCTCTGGGCATTTATCAGGAGTGTATTAACAAGCTGTAGTGGAGAGAGGACCACAGGTCCCTTTCTAAGCCCTGTGTGGAGGCTGTTGGTAGTTCTGAGATGTCAACAAAGAAATGAAACTACGTTTTGGTCATGGATGTGGAGTTAAGGTGAGCTGTGCCAGCCTGACCAGAGGAGAGCAGGACATGGTGGGGAACTGTGTTCTGGATCACTGCACACAGTGTGTGAGAGCAGTACCTCACCTCTGTGTATCTGAGAAACATCTCTCAGTAGGATTTGTGCCAGCTTCAGAAGTGCAGGTAAAAATGTTTTGCCCCTGTTCCTGTTTGAAGGGACCTGCTGGTGAAGGCAGAGCTTGGAGAGGATGCAGGAGGATGTGCAGTGGCAGCTAGAATTCATCTTCCACCGGGAATCTACGTGGATCCCTACGAGCTGGCATCGCTGCAGCAGCACAACCTGACCAAGGTAACGGCTCCAATGCCAGGACGTCTGGCAGTGACCCAGGGAGGACTCAGGAAGTTGTAGCCTCTGCTCATTATCATGCTCATTGCACTAAGGTGATTAACTCCTGGAAGGAGATGCTGCACAGTATCATCTTCGTGGCATCTCACTGTATCCCTCAGCCTGATCAGCATCACCCGGTGCAGGGTGTTCTGTGTCATGTGCTGCTGATACCTCCACACCAGCTGTGTGTACCAGGGAGCTGCTGCTCCTCTGCTTAGCCCTGGTTGAGCAGCTGTGGTAGAAGGCACTCGGGCTGGGGAGGTGAAGGGTTCCCCCCAGAAGAGGTAGAGGTGGTGGTGAGCTCTGAGCAGTGTGCTGAGTGTTCGGACCAGGCTCCCCAGCTTCGTTTGCACCCAGTCTTTGCTTCACACGTTGGGTAGGGAGGTGTGCTGAGGCTGTGGCTTTGAGGGAATCTCCTTAGTCTGTTAGCTAAAGTACAGGGAGCAGGGGCTGTGGGTAACTCCTGCTGTTGGGATGCCTGAGGTGCAGGTCTGGCCTTGCTGACTCATGTCGTTACGCTGATGCCTCTCAGGTTTGGCTGTAGGCACAGTTACACCCCAAACTTTCCACAGTAGGTATCACTCATTGGAGAGGGACTCAAAAAGGTGTTTTGTAACATTTTAAGGCCAGAATTTCCAGCTCCATCCTCCTGAGCACGAAATCAGGCATTAGAAAACAAGGGAAATAGTTCTCCCTCCCCATGTGGATTCCAGTTGCAGCCACACGTGTACCTTTCCCCCATGCAGGCAGTGCTGATTCCTGATGTCATTGACGTGGAGGCTCCTGAGTACTCATCCACGGACCTTGTGCTGCTGCTGTCCCTGGACCCAGACCCACACTGCTCCCACTGCTTCCAGGCCTCTGTGCCCCTGCATGGGCGGTACCAGCGGCCGGCACGGCGCGAGCAGCACGTCCTGGTCAGGCTGGACAGCCCAGAGCTGCTGCTCTGCTGCTATCATGGTGAGAGTCTCACTCGTGCTCCTCTGGGGAGAGGGGAATGACCACGGGCAGTTCCATGGAATCTGGTTCTGTATTTGATGGAGACACAGCTCTCTGTGGGGAGAGGGGAAGGAGAGTGGCTCTGGTAAAGACGATGTTGTCTTCCTTGTTGAGTGTTTTTGCTTGGCCAAAGGCAGATTGATGTTCTGCAGACCTCTTGGTGTTGTGCTGCTGCCACTGTAGCCCTGTGCTGTTTGGGTTCTTCCATCTGGAAGTGTTGGCAGTTGTCCTGATCCATATGGTTTGTCTTGATCCCACTGAGGCTTCCTGCTCCAACTGCATTGTCAGCTGGAGCCATGCAGGGTGTATTTAACATCCACTGTCACCTACCTAGAGTAATCAGAGTATTCTGATGGTTTCCAACACATTCCTGCATTCCCTAGATATAAGGGGAAAATGTAACAAACTGCCTGAAACTTAGAAAGGTTGGAGTCAAACTCCTATGAAACAAGAACCTGATATCCACTGTTTCATGGGAACAATGAAATCCTCCAGTTCTGCTACAAACTGCGTTTCCTTTCACAAAATCATTCTTGCTAGCTGCCAAGTGAGACACGCTACTGATTCTCAGCTCCTTTAGCTTCAGTTGTGCATCGTTTGAGCAATGATTTCCTGGGACAGGGGCAGGGTCAGTTAAAAAAGGGATGTGAAATGTTCTTGGTTTTGTGCCACACTTACCACCCATGAGCAGAAAAACATACTTAGTAGTAGTATGAAAGGATTGAAAGTGTTGGAGGGAAGTTCTTTCATGTGCTGACAGGAGACCAAGAAGGAGAAATGGAAGAATGACTTCCTTGTTTTGGGGAAAATGATAACTGTGTGGCTAAAGTTGAGGGGTCTACAGGCTAACCAGGAATTCTTTACCCTGTCAAGGTCAGAAAGGCCAAGACCCCACACAGGTGAGATTCTTCTTGGGTACCTGGTGTCTCAGGAAGGGAAAGGTTGCAAAGTTCACCAGAAGAACTGCTCAGCATCACTTTGTGCAGGGCAGCTGGCATGTTTCTGTCTGTGCTGCTGCACCACTTGGCTGCCAGGGAGTAGAATCTGTCAAACTGTTATCAGGGAAAGATCCCTTGTTTGGAAAAGTCTTGCAGGCCAGATTGCTTCATCCCATTTGGATCCTGCTGGTGCATTCATTGTGTTCCCTAGGTCACCTGCCAGGAGAGTGCTGGAAGCCTGCTGGAGTGGCAGCTCCCTGCCCAGCTGGAAACATCACTCCCTGCCAGTGGTACAGTACAGCACAGAGACCTGTGAGTTCCCATTTCTGGCTCTTTGTAGTGTTTGCTGCCTTTGCTTTCTGTCATGAGCAACTTGCATAGCACAGGAATTAATCACTAGAGGACTAGCTGGGTGATTCTCCTTTTGGCTCCTTTCTGAGCCACGTTTGGTGAGGCTTATTCTGCCCTTCTGCCATGCTTACAGTCACTCTCTGCTCCTCTGGCCCTTGAGAGTGGCTGCTGTCCTCACCCTTTTTTTTTCCTTACCAGTTCACTTGGAATCCTAGGATATAATTAGCGCTGGTCAAATTAAGAGAAGCCTTTACAACATTGGAGATTCAGAGGAGTAGCAAAGTGGGAAACCACTTGATGATCTAATTAAAGGAGGGGTAAAACTGCAGAGATTTAAGGAATAGCATCCTAAAAAAAAAGGCCATTTCTGTTTGATTGGTTGTTATCTGATGAGGTAACTATTTAAGAAAAGATGAAGTTGTTTATCCTGTGTTCAAAACTCAGTAAGGTTGGAGCTTTAGCCTGGTCAACAACTGCCCTTGGTGCTCCAAGGGGTCACAGATTCAGAAATAAGACTAATTTAAATAAGAAACTTGTTGAGCCTTCCTATGTTTGTGAGACCTTGCAGATGTCTGTGATATGTGCAGCTCTTGTCCAGAATAGTTTGAAGCTTCCTGCATCTATGACAGACCAAACAGCTGTTCCCTGGGTCTCTGTGGGGTGTTGTGTGTGTATCCCCAGTGAAGAGGCTGCTGCAGGAACAGGGATACAAGGGGCAGAGATCCCTTGGCTGAGCTCTGCAGTGCAGCAGTGACTGGCACTGTGCTTGCTGGGAATCACAGTGATGTGATGTCCCATCCTGGGATTGATTGTGAATCTGTATCCCAGGGGTATCTGTATCCTAATCCTCTCAGTTGCAGTCAGAGAGGAACAGCTCGTTCACTGTGTGCAATCCACTGTTTTTTTTCTCGGTAGGCACAGGAGGAGCCAGTGCTGAGTGTCCCTGTGGGGCTGAGTGAGCACACTTTCCTGGTGTGTGCCACGACCCTGCTCACCACAGTGCTCTGTTCCAGCCTGATCTTCACTGCCACCTGCAGGTACGGACACTTCTAGTGCCCTGCTCAGAGCAGGGGAACACAGAGTGACTGACTCCATCCAGCACAGCTACCTGGAGACTACAACAGATTCCCCAGTGGATTCTGTTCTGCTGTTATTTATATCCTAAGGGTACCAGCATGGCTAATAGTTCCCTTGGGCTAATGCTTACCAGCACCTCCCACACCCCAGAAGACAGTTTGGGTGTGTTGTTGATAGCCAAAGCAGGTGGAGGGAAGGAAGAAGCCTCCAAAAGCTGAAAGCACTACTGGGGGCAATGGAGCAGCACTCAGGAGTGCAGTTTGGGTCCCCTGTTCCTTCCTCCTGGCCCAGTGTGCTGCCTCTGGCAGAGGTGTTTTTGTTTCTTGACTCAGGGATTGGTTGTGAAGGGTGTGAAAAATCTTATCTAGTCATTAAAGTTTCTGAATTTTAAGCTTGTGTGAGTTTTGTATGAGTTTGAGAAGAGACATTCTGGGACACATGAGGACTTACATAACCTCTCCTGTTCCAATAACTGGGAGGGATTGGCTGTTCTTGGTCAAGTTAGAGTCATGGAATCATTTAGGCTGGAAAAGCCCTCTAAGGTTGTCAAATCCAACTGTTCCCCCAGCACTGCCCAGGCCACCAGTGACCATGTCCCCAAGTGCCACATCCACGTGGCTGTTAAACCCCTGCATGGATGGTGACCCCATCCCTGCTCTGGGCAGCTGTGCCAGGGCTGGACAGCCTTTTTCATGAAGAAATTCCTCCTGATGTCCAACCTGAACCTCCCCTGGCACAGCTTGAGGCCGTTTCCTCTCATCCTGTCACTGTTCCCTGGGAGCAGAGCCTGACCCCACCTGGCTGCACCTTCTGCCAGGGAGTTGTAGAGAGCAGAAGGTCCCTCTGAACCTCCTTTTGTCCGGGCTGAACAATTGGTCAGCGTTGATGGAGTTTAGAACATTTGAAAGAAATTCCATGCTCTGTCAGGAGCAAAAGAGACCCTTGGAAGAGGAAAGCAGGAGGGAAAATAGTGAGTGGGAGCAAACATTTCAAGCCCTGCACTCAGCCAGCTGCACAGCTGCCAAACGGGGAAGTGGAGAGGAAATCACCGGGTAGAAAAGCTGAGTGCTCTGCCCTTGGGAGCTGCAGCTGTCAGCAGGTGGCACCGCGAGCCCACGGAGCTCCCGCGGGGAAAAACACCTTTGCTTCCCGTAAACCTCGGTAAGTCAGCAAAAGCAGCTGATTGGGGGAGTGTGTGTGTGTGTGTGTGTATGTGAGGGGGATGGATGGAAACTTCTGCTGAGGGTTTGGTGTGTGGCCCCAGCAGGACCGACCTGTGATGCCTGTGCAGCTGCAGCCCCAGGGTCCCTCGGGCATCCTTCTCCTGCTGCAATCCCACTGAGCTGTCCCACTCTGCCCTGGGCAGGATGGCAGTGCTGGCACACTGGGCTGGGCCAGGACTTCATCTGCTACCTCGGAGGAGCCAGCGCTGCATCTGCTGGGGAAGGGAGCCCTGAGAGGTTTTGTGTTGTTTAACCCACCAGTGCTGGGAGCAGCACTGCACCCCTTGGCTCCCAGTGGGAGTTTGAATTCCCAGAGCTGGATCTGGTCCTGAGCTCTCTCTTCCAGTGGTAATTCTGTCTGGCAGTCTGACCCATGGAGCACCAACATCTCAGACTGCCAGAGCTGAGTGACAGGTCTGCACCCCCTGAAAACTCACCTTGGTGGGTTTTGTCACCGGATAGGACCAGCTGAAAATCACAGCTTGGATTTCTTGCCTAAAACAAGCTGCTTGGTGTCAGAGCCTAGGGAGAGGAAGGGGGAATCAGAACCACAGGGTGGGTTGGGTTGGAAGGACCTTAAAGCTCATCTCAGGGAGACCTTCCACCAGCCCAGGTTGCTCCAAGCCCCATCCAACCTGGTCTGGAACACTAAGGGAGACCTTAGAGCCCCTTCCAGTGCCTAATGGGGGCTCCAAAATTGCTGCAGAGGGACTTAGAGCAAGGGATGGAGGGACAGAACACAGGGAATGTGCTGCCCAGGGAGGTGGTGGATTCACCATCCCTGGAGGTTTTCAAGATGAGACTGGATGTGGCACTTAGTGCCATGGTCTAGTAACCACGGTAGGGTTGGACTCAATGATCTTTGAGGTCTC